AATTTAAAAGTTTAGTGCAGAAGTATCGAATCGGTATCGATATCGACGATACTGCCTTGAAAAATATCGGTATCATATCGAAAACAAAATAAGGGGTATCGCCCATCCCTACTTCGCACCCTACCATACCCCAGAATCACTTGCGCGCAGATGAAGATGGTGTTTATATTCAAAGAACACAGTGGGTGAGAGTTCTGTGGGGGAATTCACATTGAAATGTAAGTATTGTGTTTTCATTTACTCAAATACCTGGCGAAAGTGTTAAAAGCCAGGGTTTTTTTTTAACACAAAGCCCACAAACAATAAGACAACCACTATATAAGGCAATAGTCTTTACCTTTGTTGTATTTTTGTAGTGCGAAAATACAAAGTAAGCAAGTTAATACACACATTTTTGCTGAAATTCATTGTGCTGTTGTTGTTAACAGTCATGGTTTATTTGCTCTGCCTTAGGATTGCAAGTGACCTGGGACAGGTGAGGGAATGAGTGGAAGCTGGTGGAGCTACTCAGACATCAGTTTTGAGCCCAGCCCTGCCTCCATGTGTTCTGGGGTCTTCAGGAGGTGAATCTCTTGGTGAATGGCCAGCACCTCAGCGACTCGGAGGACAATGCGGTGACAGTGGAATGAGGCATGTCAAACACTCTGGAGACCACTCTATGTACCACTGGCAGACAGAAAAGAAACACCAGGGTCTGGATTGTGGCACCCCATCACTGTTGCTGTTCACTTCTCAGAAGATCCAGCAGCACTGTCAGGGCCTCCCTGCTCAACCTGAAAACCATTAAAAACCTGTTCACATTCAGCTTTATCCTGCAGTACAGTGGTCTGGTATGATTTAGTGAAAGAAGGAAAAGAGAAACTGTTTAGAGCTATGACAAAGTAATTAGTAGAAGAAATATTGAGGTACTTTAGTAAACTACTTGTAGTAACTACTAATACCACATTGGGGGAAAACTACTAGTCATATTTAAAATCTTAGCTAAAGGGATAGTTCATCCAAAAATGAAAATTCCAAACCCGAAACAACTTGAGGGTGAGTAAATTACAGAATTTATATTTTTGGCTGAACTATCCTTTAAGTAAAAGTAGTATCTTGCATACTCTGATATACTTAAGGTATTAAGAGTAAAAGTAAAGGTATGTACAGTATTGTTCTGAAAAAGAATTCGTCAGGATGGTTATACATTAATATTACTGCTGCACTACTGTGTATGTTGCATTTTACTTCTGAATATGTTCAAGGTTATTAAATTTAAAGTTGCCTATACTTCATGTACTGTTGGGTAGTTTAATGTACAACAATACATCATGTTGTAAAAAACATATTTTTGTAGTGTTGCTGTGCTGTGAGGAAAAAAGAAAACTTAGTACTTCACATTTGTTCAAGAATACTATGTACTTATGTACTGAATGTACTTCCTTACAGTCCACTACTGATTATTTTTAAAATGAAAGTAACAACATTTGTGACCCTGGACCACAAAACCAGTCATAAGGGTCAATTTTTTGAAATTGAGATTTATACATCATCTGAAAGCTGAATAAATAAGCTTTCCATTGATGTACGGTTTGTTAGGATAGGACTAGCAAACGACTAGCAAAACAAGGATATTTGGCTAATGAAGTTCTTAGCAATGCATATTACTAATCAAAAATTAAGTTTTGATATATTTACGGTAGGAAATTTACAAAATATCTTCATGGAACATGATCTTTACTTAATATCCTAATGATTTTAGGCATAAATGAAAAATCGATAATTTTGAC